CTACAAAAGTCTCGTGTGGGATTTACCAGTTTACCTCATTTGTGGCATAAACGCGATATTCAGTGCTGCAGTGTTCACTCCATCCATCCTCCTTTATATGGCAGTGAGACATGGCCATTAAAAGTGGGAAATATGAAAAAAAGGTTAGTTGTCTTCGACCACACATTTTCGCATTCTGTCTCCCGTGTTGATTGGTTGTATGATTTTGTCAATAATATTTAGGTTAGGCGAAGAGTGTTAGATAAGGAGAGGAAGTCCATCGATTGAGTGAGATGGTTAGGCCACGTGTTGCGCATTCTAAGCCATCAAATTACTCGACGGGCGGTTTTATTCGACATAGGCTTGGGTTAGAACGGAGTTACGGGTGGTCAAACTAAAACATGGCGTCACTCAATGAAGTCCTTGGCATTTAATTAATTAATTTATGACTGACTGGGTCCCAGCATATAATTGTGCACAGAAGTGCACCAATTCAAGTTGACACACTCCATATAGCGCTCAAAGGTGGAGAAAAGACAGAAAGCAAGAAATACAAAATTACTATAATGAACAGAAATGTACGGGAGAAAGGGTAGTAACATTGAAAACATATGGATTTAGAGGATCTGGGAGGTTACAAAGAGTGGAATGCATCTGTGCCACCCACTAGGATTTCAAGCCATGGCATCAATAATCTATAAGTATTGATTTTTAGCATCCTGTGGACCCCAAATAGAGGTAGTCTACACTTCCCTGCGTGATTGGCTCAAACCAAATGTCGAAGACTTCATGAATTGATGCTGGTCTTGATTTGACCACCCTTAACGTTTTTCTAACCTAATCATGTGTCAGTTAACATTGCTTGTCCAGAAAAGATGATGGTGCCTTGGCAGGCGCCATACGTGTGCAGCTTCACAACCTCATCGATCGACTTCCCTTCCTCACCTAACACTCTACACCTAACCTCTTACTCACCATACTGAGCCATATAACACGGGATACAGAATATAAACATCATTCGAAGTCAATTGGTGAATGGTGCCCAGCAGCGGAATCCAGGACAACACGCGTTTCACCCTATTTGGGACTCGTCAACTGGATGTACCTGCATTCCCCAGTGAGTGATGGTGTTCCAACCGTCGATTGAACACCATCACTCACCGGGGAATGCAGGTACATCCAGTTGATGAGTGCAAAATAGGACGAAATGTGCATTGTCCTGGATTCCATTGCTAGTCACCAAACACCATTTGACTTCAAGTTACATGGCCAGACATCGTCGATGCATCTGCACAAGGAGCGCCGACATGTCAACCTGACACCGAGCACTTCTGTCCAATCAATCTACGGGAAAATCTAAAAACTGAATTAAATAAACATCCTTTGTCAAAGAAAGTTAACTTTTTAGTTGCCTTGACTGAAGTCAATAGAGAGGATCCATTGGTGAATGAGAGCCGAGGCCAATGAGTCATCAGTGTATGATGCAGACTAAGATGAAGTAGCCGTTCAACGCCTCTAAGTTAATATTTGTTGCTTGACTGACTGACTGACGATCATTTGGAGACGAAAACTACTTTGTGAAAATAATTCACTTTCCACAAAGTTTCTAAGATGGATGGATTGGGAGCAGAGAAGTACTTTTGAGTACTTAAGTACATAAGCAAAGGGGTCCGGGGTTCGACCCCTCTGGTTGACACACTTCTAAATCTCGTCTAGCTCCCGGTAAAGAGGGGTTAGTTGGGCGTGAGACTAACCACTACTGAAACTCCAAAGCTCAAGTTCGAAGTCCTATGCTCCACTGGGAACGTAGAGGAATGGTCAAAGGTCATTATTTCCATTTATACTGGGGGGAGCATAATTTCTTCAGTGTGCTAGTGTGATCACTTTTAAAACGTTTCTTCTGTTGTCATTAAGACCTTACTATTCAGTTAACATAACATATTCTTAATGAATGTATTTTTGTTGTTGTTTTTGTTTATTTTGCTTTCTAGTTATGCTTGGACCTGCTTAGAATGCAAGCGTTGTGTAGAGTGTAATGATTCTGGTCAAGAGGATCAAATGATGTTCTGTGATCGTTGTGATCGTGGTTATCATGCCTTTTGTGTTGGTCTTGGTCGAATACCTAATGGAAAATGGGAATGTCTACTGTGTGAAGCCTTGCCAACACCAGCAAAGAAAGGTCGACCAAGAAAGTATGCTCCCAAAGATATGGATGATTTACCCTGGGGGTATAGTGTAAGAAAGCCGTGTAAACCAAAAGTGAAGAGTATTAGCAATTTCTCCCGACCGAAACCAATGTATGATATTAAAAAAGATGCGCCTGTAAGGCTGCTTACTCCTGCTTCACACAACATTCTCCTTTCAGGAGCAGCAGCGGCAGCAGCTGGAGGAGGGTTAGGAGGAGGTAATACCAGTGGTAATATAGAAATCCCTAAACGTCGTAGAGGTCGACCACCGAAGAAAAAACCTATAATACCAAGTTTTCCAACTCCAGTTTCACCGTATATTTCAAATCCGAGTAGTTTCAGTTCAGCACCTTCAGAGATATCAGCTTCTTTGCCAGCTGCTCCATCGACACCACGACCTGAAAATGAGTCGCATCCAATCACCTATCCCACTGCTACTACTAATACTACTACTACTACTACTACTATTGCTACTGTTAGTAGTACTGTCGTTCCTGAAAAAGAAATACCGTGTAATGATAAAATTCCCAATTCTCAAGAGAAAACAGAAGAATCCACTCCGCATAATCCTGTTGAAATCAGTGAAGGGGATAAAGTTACTGTAAAACATGATTCTGAAGTATCGATCTCTGATGCGACAAATTTAAACGATCCGAATAATGTTGAAAAATGATTTATTGACTTGTTTGTTGGTTTGTGCATGTGTGTGTATCTGCACGCCTTAATGTGTATAACAGCTATAAATTTCCTTTGTTACATTTTAAAATGTAATATGTTCCCTTTTTTTGTTTTTGCTGTTTCACTTGTTCTTGTAAAATAATTGTAGATAAAAACGTCAGGGATCTCTTTTCTTCTCTCATTTCTTTCTTGAAATGTGTTCATAATATTTTTTCTATTGTAAATGTATTTGTTTCTTTCCTTTGCGACTTTTTTGTTGTTGTCTTGATTTTTTTCAATTAGTGTGAGATTGGTGCATTTAGGGCTGGGCCTGGTGTCTTCGTTTCTTGTTAGGAAATGTCCATATTTTCCATTAATTATCATTCCCTTAGTTTCGAGTGGAACATAGGGCTTCAACAACACATCGCCACTTTGTCCTATCTTCTGCCGTCCTTTTCAGATTGGACCACAATTGCCCACAATCTTCCATCTCTTCCTCATAACACACGATCTCCTCCATGTCATCTTCGCACCGACCATCCACTCGTCACCTTCCATTTGAATTACACTCGAACAGTATTCTGGCGCTCGATGTCATTCGACGGTTTCCTCAATGTATGCCCGTTTCATCTCCACTTTCTCTTACTTATTTGTTGAGTGGTCGGCGGCCTTCGCCTGTTGGTTTGTTCCCACAGTTTCTTGTTACTTATTCTTTCTGGCCGGCCATTCGATCTTCAGTAGGGAGCCATCGAAGGTAGCTGTCGATGAAAGTCTGCCACTAGCTGTTGGAAATCCTTTTCGTGACTGACAAGCAGTGCAAGTTTCTGATCCGTATATAAGAACTGGCCGACTTCACATTGGTGTTGAGAATTCCAATCTTGTTCTTTATGTTGACTCAGTCCGGAAGATTTCTAAATTGGTTTCAGGTTGATGAAGGCGTATCTTGCCTTTCCGATTCTGACTGTCTGTCTGGCTTTGACATCTTCATCCGTTTCGCCAGCCTGTGGTTGAAACCATGCCGGCTGCTTAGATAAGTGTCGGAGCAGAGTATACGGATGACATTATTATCGTTCTAGTTGAAGACGCTGATAAAATCCAGTCTTCTGAACACGTTTTAGGCAGAAATCGTCGAATGTTTGCTATGTTGCAGGACTGATCTGTAGCTTAAAGATAGGGAGTGAAGTGGTGAAGCGTGTTTACTGCTTCTCATATATGGGAAGTTGCATCAGGCCTACTGGATTGACTGACTGATTGGTGGCGAATTCTCCGTACAGATACAAAATGCTCGTGTGGGATTTGCCGATTAACGTCATCTCTGGCGTAGAGGTGATATCTGGCGGCCGACCAAAGAACATGTGTAGTGCACAACAGTTCATTCTGTCTTCCTTTATGCCTGTGAGATACATGGCTGTTGAGAGTGCAAGATATGCAAAAGCTAGCTGTCTTTGACCACAGATATTTTTGCTTGCATGTTAGGTTGTAGAATATGGTGAGTAACATTCAGGTTAGGCGTACAGTGTGAAGTATAGAGGGTAAGTCAACCGATAAGGTTGTGAAGGTGAGTCAAGTGAAAGGAATAGGCCACCCGTTGAGTATTCTGAGCTACCGTATTCATCGACAAGCAATGTTAACTAACACAGGGTTGAGTTAGGAAAGAGTTAGAGGTGGTCATATCAAAACTTGACATTGATCCATGAAATCGCTGATGGTTTGTTTTAGCCATTTAGGGGTGTGTAGGCTGCCTAGTAGGAGTCCTTAGAATGCTGAGCATCACTGGCTGGAAACCAATGGTGATATTGTAGTGGTATAATACAGACAATGTGTGCCAACGGAAATATTCTCACATATCCCCACAGTTCAGTTCGGCATTAGCAACAGAATACTATATATATATTTGAACATTCTATTTCATGTCGTTTGATGTCAACCGAGATCGCACACTCAGTGTTTGGTTAAAGAATATAGACTGTCTATATATAAACAGCGGTTTGATCAATGGAAAATATACCTTTGCTTCCGTGTCTTACCTTCTGCTGTTATAATATGATTCAAAATCGTTCTCAGTAGTGCAGATGTACTAACTTTTTCTGATTATCAATATCCCCTAAATTGTCATTCTTTTTTTGAATGCCATTATTCTTTTTGCCTCACACTTTTGCTGATTGTACTTCTTTCGACCTCACGCATTGTGGTTGGCAAGCATTCTGCCACCGAATGACTGACGCACAACAAAATGTTTATAGAGTACCAATAATTCTAAGACAGATTGAATTAGTTGTCTCAACTACAGGAGGAACAGACGAGGATGTCAAATCAAGAATCGGGAAGGCGAGAAACACATTCATCAACCTGAAACCAATCTGGAAATCCTCGTCACTCAACATCAACAACAACAAAGTACGGATTTTCAATACAAACGTCAAGTCAGTCAGTTCTTCTATACGGATCAGAAACTTGGCGGGTCACAAAGAATATTTCCAACAGCCTGTTGCAGACCTTTATCAACAACTGTCTTCGTCGCTCTATACTGAAGATCAGATGGCCGGAAAGAATCACCAACAAGAAACTATGGAAAGAAACAAAACAAGAACCAATCGCTCAACAAATATGCAGGAGAAAGTGGAGATGGATTGGACACTCGCTGGGGAGGCCACCAGGTGACATCGCACGTCAGGCCAGTGCTCGAGTGGAACTCTAAAGGGAAGCGGCGAGTGGGACGTCCAAGGGTGACATGGAGGAGATCGTGTGAAGAGGAGTTGAAACAGTATGGACTAACATGGATACAGGTGAAAAGTACAACAGAAGACAGAAACAAGTGGAGGCGTGCAGTTGAAGCCCTATGTTCCACTAGGAACCCAAGGGAACAATAATAATAATAAATTTAAGACTGATATTATTGGTTGAATAGTGGTCATTATTGCTGATGAAGCTAATTTTTTCGGCTGGCCTCACCAAGTGTTGTGTGTGTGTGTGTGGTTAAAGTGATTCATACCCAGGTGGTGTGGTTGATAACGCTTTGTCGGTGGGTGCTGTATTTGTGAGCCTCAATCAGAATACCATCGCTCACCAGGGATTTCAGGCATATCCAGCTAATGAGTCCCAAATGGGACATCCTTGACTCCACTGCTAGTCAGCAGCCCTTTAGATATCACTTATAACAGCTTGGTGTAAACTTCATGCACAAATAAATTGTTTCAGGAGACTTTGCAGCTGCGCGAAACTCATTATAAAATCACTACACATCCTTTGTCCAATTATTTTAGTGTAATAAGATTGTACTTCCAGCTAATTTGATTAGCAGATTTCGTGAAGTACCAATCTCAGTTAAGGGGTCATTGAAAACCAAGGAGCACTCGACGGCTCTTTCACCCTAGTTTTGTGGCTCTGCAGTACTACACACCTACAGGGATGGTTGATTGGTGTGTCTTACAACCTGAAGGCCTTGGGGGGTGGTGTGTGCACACTTCTAAAAGAGTTCTAAATTAGCACGGATTGGCTTTCCGGTGCTACCTGATAGTTTTCAATGGTTCTATAACTGATGTGTCGGTGGTTGGTGACAAAATCTCTATTGAAGTTAGTCAAAATCCTTAAAAATCTTAAAATATGAACACATTCAACAGTGTTAGTAGGGTTATTATAAAGGAAAAGTTGTAATTGTCGTAGTGAAGGAGTGATTTCCATGTTAGTAGATTTTCTGAAAAAACATAAGAAACCTGATCATTTAATTAATTCTCTCATAGGCCAAGATATGTGATTTGTTTGATCGGTGATACTGTGTTAGAATTCTCGAAATGCGAAGAGTGCTCAAACATCAAAATAAGAGTGAACAGTTTAGTGAAGGGAATCTTTTCGACCACTTTTAATTCAGTTAGGTATACCATCCTAATTATGTGCAATTGTTTGTGTACATGTTGTTATTATTCCCTTGGATTCCAAGTGGAGAACCCAGGGCTTCAACTACACATTTCCACTTTGTTCTATTTTCTCCCGTCCTCTCTAATTGGGTCCACAATTACCCATAATCTCTCATCTCCTCCTCCCAGCACATGATCTTCTCCATATCACCCTCGCAACGACCACCCACTTGTTGCCTTCCATTCGAGCGATGGCCTGTATTGAGCACGATGGCATTCGATGGTCTCCTCAACGTATGCCTGATCAATCCATCTCCATTTGCTCCTACATATTTGTTGAGCCATAGTCCCTGGTTTGTTTGTTGCCAATCAGAGTTTCTTGTTGTTTATTCTTTCTGGTCAGCTGGCCATTTGATCTTCAGTACGCAGCCAGGGCAGGAGGAAGCTGCTGATAAAAGTCTAAAGTAGCATGATGGAAATCCTTCTCATGACTGACACGCAGTGCAAGTTTCTGACCCGTATAGAACTCACTGACTGACTTTATATTTGTGATCATAATCCGAATCTTGTTCTTTGTGCTGACTGATTTCCAAACTGGTTTTGGGTTGATGAAGGCGCATCTTGCCTTTCTGATTATGGTCTGCTTTGACATCTTCATCCGTTCCGCCAGTCTGTGGTTGAAACAATGCTTACTGCCCAGATAAGTGAAGGAGTTAACTTCTGTTGACAGTGATTAGTTCTGGTTGTTTTTGCTATTGCTGTTCGTTGGTTGTCTTCATCACCTCCGTCTTCTCTATACTCACCTGCAATCCTGTTTCGCTGCTAAGTATGATAAAAGTAAATTTTAATTTATACAAACGCAAAGGAGACGTGCGGCTGAAGCCCTATGTTCCTCTAGGAACTAAAGGAAACAATAATATAGTAATATGTTAGCTTGACTTTCTAAGGTATTTACATATATAATGTAATTGCGTGTAATAGAATGGGATTGTTGTCGCTAGGGACCAGTTCGTCTTATGTCTTTATTTTTGTAGGCTCTACGGGTCAGAAGTAATCGGTAATCAATATTTTTGTTGAATCTAGAAATCATGAGGACTAATATTACATCATTACTGACATTATTTTACTCATTTTTCGGTGAAACCAAGACTTGAAGTGAATATTCACTGTTCTAAGTAATGGAAAACAATACAAGTTTATATATAAGGCTGTACATTTTTGTTAACAATATCGGTTAGATATTCCCCAACATATATCGAAGTAAAATGACAATGGGATGATAGTTTCTATTTGTTTTGATATTGATCAGTTTAAGGATGTGTAAGGATTAGTGTTTGGGTAATTTAAAATAACAAATATCTATGTCTTTCTTTTGGAAACCAGAAATATTCAAATCTCAGTATGTAGTCTGCTTGATATTGTAAATAACAGTAGAGAAAGCAATAGAAATAACACAGTAGTATGTATATATATACTACTGATTGATATAAGTAGTTAAAAGTGATCTTTACCTCAACTTCATTAATCTGGAAAAGGGCTTCGATAGCATCGATTGCAAAGTAATTCGGGAACGGCTTCAACTAAATGGAGTCTCCTAAAATTTTATACACCTCATTCAACAACTGTGTGATGATGATGCCGTATCCTTAGCGAAGCATTTGAAGTGAAGACGGGAGTAAAACAAGGCTGTCTACTATCATCGATGATATTCCTGAGTGTGATGGACGGGATAGTGCAAAAGGCAGTGAGGAATGACAACACTGGCATACATCACACGGATGAATTTTGATTTTGATTAGTCATCTAATTCAGTGATCTCAACTCACTGAGCAAATCTCAATCTTATAAACTGTAAATGCTTTTGTTTGTTGGAGTTGCCATGTGAACCTACAAGCTAACATTGTTTCTGTTAATCAATTTTTCTGTTTTCTGTCTTACCCCTCCCCCCTCTTTTCAACTCTGAAAGTGTATAAATTGATGATGATAACTTAAACTGAAAATTGTAATGCTTTCATTCTTTTTTGGATGCGTCAATTTTATCTCTTCTCTACTACTAATCAAACATTAAAGTATGTTATTATCATTTATATAACCAATGTAATTTCAGGTAGTCTGCAGCTGATGAGGACCTGTGAAATAGAATGATATCATTTTATACTGCAAATTTCGTCTTCCTTTCTTTATCGAAATTTGTCAAGGGAACCAGTTGTATGAAGAACTCATATCTCTTCCGAGATTCGAACCCATGTCATCGAGTGCTACAGTCAGAGACGTTATCAATGAGCTATTTGGGCTCTCGATTGACCTCCTAAAGGACTGTATTAGATACCTTGATTGCACACTAACTAGTGTCAAACGTCTATTATTATTATTATTATTAATTATAAACACTTTCATATACTTATTGACTAATTTATCGATTTAAAAATTCAAATTTATTGGATCTCTCTATACAAAAAGTATTAGTACCCTAGTGGCATATTTAATTCTACAATGATGTTATTATCACATTCCTCTATTATTACTATTATTTACCTTATTCACTATACATACTACTTTAATATATTATTTTCTAATTTTGGACAATCTTTTGAATTTACATTAGAAGATAGAATATTTTTTGCTACAGAAAATTGTGAACAACACTTAGATATTGGTAATTGGTGTGAATGGTCAAGTTGGAGTAAATGTGATCTAAACACATGTACACGATTACGTCAACGTGAATGTAATTGTCCAGCTCCAGGAAATTGGACAACATTAACAGAATGTAAAACTATTAGACCACAAAATGACTACAGAGTTAATAATGTAAGTTTTATAAATATTGGTAAATTATATATATATATATATATATATAAATGTAATTTAATAAAATGTTTGGTCTACAGACCAAGGGTTTGCAGGGATTTGATTGACTTCAGGATATCATCATAAACTGACATCGGTTACAGGACCATTAGGAAGCTTGGGAGTACTGGAAAGCTGTTTTGTCCTAGTTTGGGACTCTTCATCTGTACGCACTCACTGAAGTTCGGACTCAGGACCATTGGATTGGGTCCCGGTGGCTTAATGGTCTAAGAGCTTGCCCTGTAACTAGAAGGTCCTAAGTTAGAACCTCTGAAGAGTCCCAAACTAAGACGGAGGAAACAGGTGTTTGGCAATGCTCCCTGGAAGTTTTCCAACAGTTCTCTAACCGATGCCAGTTTATGATGAAATCCTGAAAAGAACATTCTTTGCTCAAACTTTCTTTTGCCTTCTAAATATCTGATTAGGAATTTTCACTACATAAAAAAATGTTTATTATAATTCCTTTGGCTTCAAGGTCGAATATAAATGCAAGCAGATATAAGAAACTGAATATTTTTGATTGCACACTAGTCAGTAACTAGTGTAATATGTCTAGTCCTATCTTCGGTGAAGACTGAATTCTATCAGTCATGTTTGCAATGTGGCCACCATGCTAGGTGGCTCGCCATTACGTCTCTGACTGCAGCAGTGGGTGACGCGGGTTCGAATCTCAGAAGGGACATGAGTTCCTTCAAGGTTGCAGATACGCCTTGCTGATGAGTGCCAACTAGCACGAAACCTAGGTCCAAGGCTTCCTTCCGATTGCCTCCGACTATCTAATACCAATAAGAAACTGAAGTTTACAACATTTATAAGTGATGGTTTACAGGAATTTGATTGATCTTAAGTTAAATGATGAACTAGCATCACTGAAAATCTTCAGGAAGTACTAGTTACCTGTTTCATCCTAATTAGGGACTCTTTAGCAATACATAGCCATGATATCACTAGGGATCTAAACCCAGGACTAATCAGATTACGAGGCGAAACCGCTGATCATTTAGGCATATTTCTGGTTTTCTAAATTAAGGATTCATTGTGACATAATTAACCTTAAAAGACATCTTCAACTCAGCATAGCCGATCAAATTTATCATTAGGACACCTCAAGGGTTCTTTAATTTAGAAATAATATAGTATCAATCTACATAGTCATTAACCGTTAGTTTGAGGCATATAGGGAGACGCAAGTAGTATGATCAAAGTAGCTGAGAGGCTGGAAATTGCTGATGACATGCCTCGAAATCATTGTCAGTGGCAAAGATACATTTACTCTTCACGAATTCTTAGATTTAATAAATTCTCATTATTCTCCACTTAAGTTAGTGCTTCTCTATGGTCACCAGAAGCATATCCAACAGGCTACTGAAGACTTCCATCAGCAACTGTCTCTTTCACTTAATACTGAAGATCAAATGGCCAGACACAAAGGATAGTGACTTGCTACAGGACGGGGGTTCCTGGACTTCTAGTGAGAAGTCGTGACCACTGAGGTTCATGCAGTCAAGTGTGAGGATGGTTTCTCCACCGATGACATTGGTTTGTGGTTGCGCTAAATCACGAATTGGTAGAAGTCGGGTCCCAGTAGCTGAATGGTATACGACCCAGCTTGCCTTGTAACCTGAAGGTACTGGGTTCGAACCCTGACGGTGGGTGTGTACCGCCGATGATTCCCAAACTAGGACGAAACAGCTGTCTAGCAGTACTCCCTGGTTTTCAATGATTCTCTAACTGATATCAATCCGTGGTGAAACTCGAAAATACAAAGGATAATCAACAAAAAATTCTGGCAGTACAATAAACCAATCAAACACCTATTATCCAACAAATACTCACACCTTTGAGGGACATCACGCATTAGACCAGTTACTGGGTGAAACCTGGATGCGAAACAAGCAGTCGGACATTCGTCCAAGGACGATGTAGGCGAGATGGAGTGAGGAAGGAATGAAAGCTTATCGGCAGTCGTGGAGTCAGCTACAAAGAGATTGCGGGAGACACAGTGAAATGGAGAGGATTAATTATACTTTCTTCAGTACAGCTGTATTCATTATAGTTTCTGAAGATATTTGATGTAGTTTGCATTCCAAGTGGAACATAGAGCCACTTCAAGCTAAGGAATTGAAGTTTCTATAGCAGTGGTGTTTATTTTTACGGGATGGGGTTGCCAGCTTCATGCCTAACCTTCCCTCTTTCCTAGTTTTATTATTGTTTTAGCAAGGTAAAGGGGTGAGTCGGCCGAGGATCGAACCCCAGACCACATACGAGCATTCTACCTCTGTGTCACCGACTCACAACTGAATATATTTTTCATTCATTAATATTTTTTCTTATACTCTATTTATTTCTCTAAAACAGACAATTGTTAAGCATACACGACATATTCGTTATACAAGTGATACTAAAAAAGAATGTAAAATACCTGTCATTCTAGAAGGTGTTTATTATCCTGATTGTTTTAAACCGTAAGTTGAAAAATATATGATGAATCTTTATTGTTATTATTACTGTTATTACTTTTACACTTCGATTATTTTATGGTGATTTTCTGCAAGGACAGGAATATGTCACTAATAAAGCCTTAAAGTCATTTCCTGTTTTACTGAAATGATACCCAATTTCAGGATAAAAATTCTCACCCACCCATGACCTTCAGTGCGTTGGTGGCGCGGTGGTTATGGTCGCTTGCCGATCATGCACGTGGTCCGGGATTCGACCCCCCCGATGACGCACTCCTTTACCTCGCTAAGCCAGTAAGTAATAAAGCTGGCAAAGAGGAAAGGTTGGGCATGAGGCTAGCAACCTCATGCTGTAAAAATAAACACCACTGCTACAGAAACTTCAAGTCTCTAGCTTGAAGTGGCCCTATGTTCCATTGGAAACGTGAAGGAATAAAAAAACCCATGACGTTGGAAATTTGGGTTCGATTCCCGGCTGACTTACTCTCAAAATTCACCCAGTCAGTAGTGAATCCAGAAAAGAATAAGAGTTGAGTGTATGATTAACAATGGTGCAGTATAAAAAGGCAACACCCCACCGCTACTAAAATTTCCTAGGCTTGAAACCCTGTTAGAAGAAAAATCAGAAGAAAAACCCAAGTAACAAAAAATACTTTTGTAAAGCTAGAAATGAATTCCTTGTATGCTGTGACAGTTGAAAATGTTAGGTATATGATGCAGAAGTCAAGCCTATTACGGATTGAATGGAAGTTAAAGTGGTAAATTGTTGATCCAAATGTCTATTTTATAGTCTAGACTGATATTTACTTCAGTGTATAAGGATTTATGAGACTTCGTTGAATCGATTTAAAAGATACGAGTGAGTAAGAAGGATGATTATAAGTCACTCATAATGATGTGGCATATAGGCTTCAGCATTTGACTGTAAGTTAATACGTCCTAGACCCTAAACAATTCACACCTTCTTCAGCTTGGTAATATTGTCAACTCCTATACTACATTAGGTGCAATGAAATCAGTTAGACAACTACTGGAAATCAGCTAGCAATGGACAGCTTTTTTGTCCTGCTTTAGGACTTTTCAGCAGTATGTACACATAACCCCAGTAGGGGTCGGATCCAGGATCTTCCGGATTACATAATAATCGTATCGGTGTTCTTTTTGTTACCTTGACTGATTAACCACTTAGATAATTTAAAAACAATGTGTACATCCTTAGCAAAATACTCTATGGCTAAGGGATTGAACTCTCAGAAATAAAATTCTGCTTTTATTGATTCGACAGAGGAATTGCGGCTTTATATTACAAGATTTTACAATTATTTTGGGAAATATTTATATTTTTCAAGAGTTTATGGAGGCTTGATTTATTTAACTTTCGATTACTAGCTGATGTTAATTAGAGAACCATTGAAAACTAGGCAGTACTGGACAGTGACTTTGTCTAGTTCTAGGATTCTTCATCTGTGCTCACCCACCGGGCTAGAACGTAGGCCTTTTTATTGACAGATCAAGCTAGTAGATCAATCAGACTCTGAGGCAGGATCCAACTTCTACCAATCCGTGATTTTAGTGTGACCACTGGCTAATGTTGTCGGCGAGTATTAGTCCTAATATCTGATCTGATGATTTCTACAGATTACGTCTTTTGACTGACATCGGTGCGTGATCAAAAGTGAAACAGATATTTGTGTTTCCGAACAAAAGAAGCTAGTTTCATATTCTCAAGTATTGGTTTTGTAGGGATTTTTGTTTGCTTGCATGGAGGATTTTATCAGGGTCCCAGTGGGTTCAATGGTCTATGAGCTAGCTTGCCTTGTAACCAGAAGGTCGTGGGTTCGAACCTCCTGTTGGTGGGTGCGTACTGTGAAGAGTCCCGAACAAGGACGAAACAACTGTCCATTACTCCCAAGTTTTCCAGTGGTTGTTTAAATGATGTCAGCTCATGATGAAATCCTCCATGCAATCAAGTTTCCCATTCATCATTTGCAAATCAAAAAAAAGCTGAACGACGGTATATACTACTAATTGAGTCCAAAAGTAATGTATGCTAACCTGAGCAAAGTGATGAAAACACTGGACTTCCATTTCCTTAGTTTAAAGCCGAGATCGTCAGTGGCGGTGTACTTGATTTGAAGGTGCACTCTGATTCTGGCCAACTACTTGAGCGAACCTGTAATACTTAGAATGAAATTCATTATATGCAAATTACAAGAAGCATTCGTTGTACACCTGTTAATAATTCTTTGAGCGGGAAATTAAAGTTTAAAGTTATTAACATTTTAAAATTTTTATATCGAATTCACTTTCAGAATAAAAATAAGTCTTTATGAACGAAGATTACTCCTATCAACAAGTTGTCTTCAGTTTCTTATATTTATTTATGAAGTAATTAGTTAGGTAGATGAATTTGTATAGAGTGTGATTTACTACTTATAATGATATCAGTAGTTAAACAGAATTCAAGCGATTTTAAGTGATTCAGCTATCTGAACTGAATATAGCCACATACGCGAATGATGAGTTCTGCTACAGTGGTTGAAAACAGTCGTCAGGTGTTTCAGTTCCTTCAGATACACTATCAAACATGAGTATTTGATGTGAATAGTTTCCAGCTGTCTGTATATGCCATCCTGCCACATCAGTTTTAGTTTATAAGGTATCATGACCAATTCTGTTCGTACATTAAATGTATTAAGTCTAATGCAAGTGGAGAAATAATACAAATGGGTAATTCTTAATTAATTATTTATCTTTGAGAAAGGGATTAAGCTGCAATATGGGTACCGGGAGAAGCGCCATATGGTTGTTATTTTATGATTTGTGCAAGGGCTGAAATGCTGCGTAGACAACTAAATCAAAGCAGAGACCGATTTGCAAGTTTTTGATTTAATGTATGATTTACAAAGCAGCAGAAAAGCATCAGGAGCCGCATTCCGTGTGGCTGCCAGTGAAAAAATAGGCCAGTTCCCGCTTCGTTTCTTTTGGGTTATGGAGATCATGTACACAGTAGGCTAGGAATAGAGGTTTTCCAGCTGTTGTAGGTGGACGTCCAAGTCGGCCGTTTTTGTGATAAGTGCCGATTGTTCGCATTTGTTTTTTCACGCCATATGAAGGCAGTCAATGGGAACGTGTGTCCATATGATGACAGCATTTTGAGAGTAAGGCTGACGTGTACCATCTCTTGGCCGTATCAAAGCACTTAGGGAGAGTATTAATGAACCTTAGCCAGAATAAATTCATAAAATATAAGAGAGAATAATGAGTAACTTATTATATTATTAATTATATTTGATATACAGATACTACACCCATTACTGAGTATATATCATAGCACTTAACGCCGGAGATAGAAAGTGAATACCCAGAACAAAAAGACAGTTGGCTTCTTCAGGTCTTCCATTTCCATTGCCAATGTTTCATAGCAATAAAGAAGTATATCCCATTGTACGAACAATAACGTTTGTAATTCAATAGCATACATCGTAAAGTATAAAGTAATACTATCCAAAAAGAAATTTCACAGGAAAGATTGTCACCTAATTAGATATAGAAAAATTTCAGTGTTTAGGACTCTTAAATAAAAAATAACAGATTATTGGAAAACCTGGGAGTACTGGACAGCTGTTTCGTCCTAGTTAGGGACTCTTCGGCAATACACACCCACCACAGGAGGTTAGACCTGATCACCGGCGACTTGCCCTATTCAGGTAGGTAGTTACCTGAGGTTCTAGTGGGAAGTTGTGACCAGTAGGGTGCAGCAGGTCGGGTGTGAGGGCAAATACTCGCCAAAGACATTGGCTAGCGGTTGCGCTATATCGTGAATTGGCAGAAGTTAGAATTCATGGGCCATTGGATCGGGTCCCAGTGGCTTAATGGTCTACGAGCTAGCTCACTTTGTAACCAGAAGGTCATGGGTTTGAATCTCCTGTGGTGGGTACGTACTGATGAAGAGTCCCAAACTAGGACGAAACAGCTGTTCAATACTCCCAAGTTTTCCAGTGGTTCTCTAACTAATGTCAGCTCATGATGAAATCATGTAACCAATCAATCAAGTCCCTAGATACCAACACTTGAATAATAGAATACATTTTATAATGCCTTTACTTGTTTGATGGTGGCTAGTATGAGAATGGGGACTTTTTACCTGGATGCAGCTACATCCTCGGCTAGTGGGGTTGTTCTCATTGAGGCTTGAATCCAGTACGTATGGCTGCAAACGATAAAGATATGCCCATTAGATTTGATACTCATTAGGTAAACCATGAGTCACCTGTTCATCCACTCAGTTGAAGAGTCACAGACGGAACAAAACGCAATATTTGGACTTCACTACTGACTATCATCAAATAAGTGAATTGGGTTTTCATTTTTAATAAAATTGAGGTATCTGTGTAAGAGGAGCCTCCTGTTGAACAATTTGGTCAGATCTATGCATATATATATATATATATATATCAACAGTAAGTCAAAAACATGACGTTTTTTTTTAAAAATTTTCTTACAGTTTACAAAGACCATCATCATCTGAAGAGTATATAGATACAGTCAAATCAAAAAGGAATTTATTCTGTTCAGTAAATAAAACCGAAATCGGTATATGTGCATATGAGCAGAAATCAAGTTCAAAGTTGAAAACAAAAGGTATGCGAGAGTATGATGTCAGTGCATGTAGTAGTTGGCGTATAATCTATCATTATAGTATGGAAAATTTACCTGCTACACTAAAATATGTGCATGATTCAGATAGTGAATTAGGAAGGAAGTGTACCTTTGAAGGTGATGATTTATATCCATTATGTACATATCATACATTTTATTCAGAGCATACAAGAAGTGATTATGGACGGTGAGTTTGTTGAGTTTTAACAATTTATAGTATGCTTTCCTCAGAGATTTGGTTAGGCATTTATGAGGCATTTATTCAATGTCACCTTTGAATTCTAGATTAAACAGAAGTATTTTCTTTGGGATGGATTGGACTTGTTCGGAAGTCTTCTTTGATTTGAGATTCTTGTCTATGAACCTGAGAGGAAAACTGTTCTCAATCAGGGTTCTTCGGAGATTACACAAACCTAGAAAACAACTCTTTATCATCAAGTATCGACGACCTCCATCTCTACAAGAGAGATGTCGATGATACTTTCATTATTTGTGATGAGAATTGTGATCTAAAAGAACTACTTTAAATCTTCATTGACGCCCACCCAAACATCAACTTCACTCTTGAGTCTGAATCCGACGGCTTGTGTACTGCTCAGCAGTCCGCTCCGTCCTCCTTTATGGCTGTGAGAGATGAGGAGCGGAGGACATGAAAAGATTAACTGTCTTTGATCATAGGTGTCTGCGTTCTATCTCCCGCGTGAAGTGGTATAATAAGGTGAGCAATATTGAAGTTAGGCTTCAGTCAAGTGCTAGGTAAGGAGGGGAAATCAGTCGACGAGGCTGTGAAATTACATCGACTGAGATGGTTAGGACATGTATTACGTATGCCTAGTCATCGCCTTCCTCGACGGGCAGTTTTAGCTGACATAGGGTCAGACTGGAAAAGTTAGTAGTGGTCAGACTAAAACATGGCTTCACCAGTCAATGAAATCCACAACAGTTAGTTTAAGCCAGCCAGTCACGTAGGAAGGTGTAGACTGCTGTCTGGTTGGGGTCCTTGGGACGGTAAAAACCAATGGTTGGAAACAATTGGTGACATGGCTCAAAATCGTTCTCACTGGCTAGCGCAGATGCATCCACTCATTGTGACTTGTGATTTCAGATTAAACTGTTTTGTTCTTCGTTATTACTATTCCTTTGTCTCACACCTTTGTTTACTGTCTCTAATATGCATTTCTCCTACTTTCTTCTCTTGCTTTGTGTGCTACAAGGAGGGAGTGTGGCGACTTGAACTGCCGCACATCAGTGCAAAGTTCTATGTCGAAAACCGACCGACCGATCCGACAGAATGTTCCACTTGCTCGACGTCCATCCGACAAGAAACGCTAACAACTCTTTGAAAAGGTCCATATACAAACAGCCTACATGGAATGAACAATTCATCAACTTTCAAAGCTTCGTGCCCCAAAGTAGAAAGAGGAACCCGATACACGCTCTTTCCTTGAGGATTCGGAGGATATGCAGCGAGGAAGTGATTGATGAAGAACTGCGTAATCTCCGAAGAACCCTGATTGAGAACAGTTTTCCTCTCAGGTTCATAGACAAGAATCTCAAATCAAAGAAGACTTCCGAACAAGTCCAATCCATCCCAAAGAAAATACTTCTGTTTAATCTAGAATTCAAAGGTGACATTGTTGCAGAAATCTTTCGTAAACGCCTCTCCAATTCATAGTATGTGATGAAATTTTCCTAGAAGTATTTGAGTCATTGTATTATTGTTACTCCTTAAGTTCCGAATAGAATTTAGGGCTTCAACAGCATTTATTCATTTCAATGTGTTTCATGCATTCATTTTTAACTGGTTGTACGATTGCCTTCTCGCTGTCATCTCCTTCTCCCACTGTCTCTTCAATGTCACCACTGGGGATATGCCCATTTGGGTTTAACTAGAGTGCTGGCCTGGTGCTCAATGTCACTCGACTACCACTTACAACTCGTAGAGAATTAGTAACAGCAACAACAACAACCACAGAACTGCTAGTGTATACTAATCCTCAGACAATTGCAAAAGTCTTGAATACTGTACAATCACTGGAAGGCAGCCAGAAAAGCACCAGGATCACAAAGAATTCCTTTAGAAGCACTGAGAAAGGTACCACAAACTGCAGCGGATACCCTCACTCCACTAATGAAATAAGCTTTGGAGGGAGGAAAGGTACCTACTGATTTGAAGAGGGTAAAACAATCAAGGAAAAACGACCTAAGCCTTTGGAAAAACTGACACAAAGTCATGCTACTGTCTAACTTTAGCGAAATAGTCACATCATCCTGGAGAGACCTAAAGATGTTCTGGATGCTAAAGTCTGATTGGGACAAGCTGGAGTCAAGAAAAGCAAATCATAGGCGAACCTTGCCTATTTAACTAGCTTGCTAGTTTTCTAGCCAGGGTAAGGAAGGAGGATTGGGTGTAGGACCAACAATCCTACACCAAAAAAGCTATCGAGCTTCTAGAGAAACTTCAACGCACAGAAAATATAATAAAAATACGAAAAATTCAAAAAACAATCTTATTCTTCACTCGAATCAGAGAGGCAAAATGACGTGTGCTGGTGAAAGCCTTCAGGAAGCCAGTCAGCCAGCTGATGTATCTTTTTCAGTAAAAGCAAGAATAAGAATGGAGGAGTGGAATTTCTGTACAATGTACGAGACTTGGAAGCCTGCCCAGGTGGCCAAAGAGATGCGAAGATATGGCTTAGAAGTACTGGGTACCTGCGAAAGCAGATGGAATGGATGTGGATTATCCAAGTTGTCAACGGGAAAGTCAGTAATCTACTCCAATCACCTAGACGACAACGACGTACACACTGAGGAAATGGCTATAATGATGTTACCAGTGACAGCCAAAGCCCTAATGCAGTGCAGTGGGAACCAATTTCATCCTGCAGGATCATTAGAGCAAGATTAAACTCAAAAGGAAGGTGGGAAGGTTGCAGTTATCCAGTGCCATTCACAGTGCTACAAACAACGCGGAACAAGAAAAGAAGGAGGACTTTTACAGACAACTACCAACAGCATTGGCTAACATCCCAAATATGGACATCAAAATCCTTATGAAAGATATAAATGCGAGCCAAACTGGGCGCAGATAATACAGGAAGAGAACTCACTATGGGTCGAGAGGCTATCACTCGGAGAAATGAACGAAAAGGGAGAATTATTCGCAGACTTCTGCTCTTTCAACGATTTGGTGATTGGAGGGAGCGTGTACCAATACAAGAATATATACAAAGCAACATGGATTTCACCTGACGGACATACCACAAACCAAATAGATTTCATACCAATGCTGCTCATGGAAGTGGAGACGCAGATGTGGGCTTACTCAGACCATCATCTATTTCAAGGAACCTTCAAGGTGAAGCCGAAATCCATGAAAACAAATGGAGACAGACCACAATTCAAGTTCAACATTCAGAAACTGAAGGACAAAACTACAAGGGATACCTACCTTCACTACAGATCAGATCAGAGCAAAGTCGGACACACTACGTGGCATCACTGAGGAAATCTTTGTGGAAGAACATTGGAACACTCTGAAAGCGATATTTAGGGAAACGTGTACAACTGTTCTAGGAAGAAGGAAGAGACAAAACAAGGAGTGGCTGTCAACGGATACCTATCTGGAAGCTAATAGAAAAGGGCGAAGAAGGATGGTAAAAGAGGAGATGACTCAATGCAAAGATAAGCAACATAAGGAGAATCTGAGTTCAATGTACACTGCACTGAATAAGGAGAGGAGTGAAGAAGAGTGTTAGGAAAGATAAAAGACAATTTTACGACACACTAGCCGGCAACTGAAGCAGAACAGGCAGGCCGCAGGTAAAAGAGATCTCAGGACATTGTATTAGATAACCAGGTCTCTATTCGGGAAGAGACCGACTCAGATGATGAAACCAATAAAAGATGCTCAAGGAAACCTGATCACCAAGGAGGAGAAACAAATCAAACAATGGGCTGGTCACTTTAAAGGACTCTTGAATCGACCACCACCGGCAACTCGCCCACAAATACCATCAACAGCACGCACAGAACTGCTTGCAAGTGGACACCAACCCTCCAACGAAAGAAGAAATCCTGAATGCGATCAGGCTACTGAAGGCAAGCTGGGAAGGCAGCAGGACCAGACGGCATCCCTCCCGAAGCACTGAAGACGGTCCCAGAGATTACGGGAGATGTTCTCACTCCGTTAATGCAAAAGTTTGAAAAGAAGGAAAAATGCCTACTGATTGGAAGAAGGGCTGGCTACCTCTTCAAACTGACAAAGAAGGGCGACTTAGGCCTGTGCAAGAACTGAATTGCTCTTGTGCACGTACATCAAGTAAAATACTAAGTCGCGTCATCCTAGAAAGAATGAAAGATGCACTGTACACAGAACTCCGCCAGCCCAGAACAAGCTGGATTCCGGAAAGGCAAATCTTGTGCTGATCAAATTGCAACTCTACGCATTGTCATCGAACAAGGCATAGAATGGCAGTCAAACCTGTACCATAACTCCATCGACTTCGAAAAGGCCTTCGACATACAGCGTTGACCGAGAAGTAATTTGGAAACTACTTCAACACTATGGCGTACCTCAAGTCTTTATCAACCTCATTCAACAGCTGGCTATATGAGAATGCCACGTGTCAGGTGATCCACAACGGGAATCTCAGAGAGGCGTTCGAAGTGAATACAGGAGTAAGACAAGGCTGGCTGTCTATTATCACCGATGATATTATCAGTTGTGATGGACTGGATTATGCGACAGGAGTACGCTGGACCACCGATAAGATGACTCTAGAATATGTGGATTTCGCGCGTGGATGATATATGTCTAATGTCACATAAACTCGAAGACTAACAGGCGAAAACCAACAAACTTGGTGAAGAAGCAGCAAAGACAGGACTTCAAGTGAACATAGAGAAGACGGAAATGATGAAGATAACCAACCAACAACAAAAACAGCAACCAGCAGCAGTCACCATCAATGGGGTAGCTTTAGCACAGGTTGCCTCCTTCACTTAACTAGGAAGCATCGTTTCAACTACAGGCCGGTGGGACGGACGAAGATGTCAAAGCAAATTAGAATCGGAAAGGCAAGATACGCCTTCATCAACCTGAAACCAGTTTGGAAATATTCCGCTGTCACTCAGCATAAGGAACAAGATTCGCATTTTTAACACCAGTATGAAGTCAGCCTAATGGTCTACATGCTCGCCTTGTAACCAGAATGCCATGGGTTCGAATCCTGATGGTGGGTGCGTATTCATGAACAGTTTCGAACTATGACGAAACAACTGTCCAGTACTCTGAAGTGCTTCAACCGATCAATCAAATCCCTACAAACCAACACTTGAACTTGAAAATTAATTCAACGCTCGCTTGTAAGTGACTATAAGATGAAGTTACCTAAAGTTCTAGTGGGAAGTCATGACCAGTGAGATTCAGGAGTTAGGGTTTAAGAACAAATACTCACAAACGACATTTGGTTGGCAGTTGCACTGTGTACTGCAAATTGGTGATAGTTAGAATTTACGGACCATTAGATTCTGTCCTAGTGAGTGAGTGAATAGCTGACTGACTGAGTTTCGAGTGAAAGCTTTACACAGAAGCGCAACGGTTCAATTTTCCACAGTCGCTATACTACATAAAGTTAGACAAAAGAAAAAAAGGTTGAAATTCTATATTATGCACAGAAATGTACGGAAGACAACAGCCAAATGGAAAAAACATGAGGATTTAATAAATCAAGGTGATAAGAAGACAGTTGCAGCGAAGAAAATTTTCTTTTCGACGAAGTCATCATCTAGGCTGTACATTCGTGTATTTATATCAAATGGATGGGAAAGTTCCAGAATAATTTCCGGTTAAGGGTCAAATTAATAAAAAATTACAATTAGGAATTAGAATGCCATAATAAACAGGGGGGCGGATAAAACTCGAACAAAGTAACATAATAACTAAGATGATTGACATTGTGCAGTTGGGGGTTAGAAATGTAGAAATAACAAAATATACAGGATGTTTGGATAAAAAACTAATGTGATGAATAATTGTTTATGCAATCAGGGATTAAATATGTAGGAATAATAAAATGACAAAATAAACAGGAAGTATTAGATGGTTGGAGGCAATCGGCAGGAAGCCTTGGACCTAGGTTTTGTGCTAGTTGGCACTCATCAGCAAGGCGTATCTGCAACCTTGAAGGAACTGATGTCCCTTCTGAGATTCGAACCCGCGTCACCCAGTGCTGCAGTCAGAGAAGGTAAGTAGTCAAGGCTTCCTGCCGATTGCCTCCAACCATCTAATACCGACAATTCACAGTGCACCGTAATGGCGAGCCACCTAGCATGGTTGCCACATTGCAAACATGACTGATAGAATTCAGTCTGCACCGAAGATTAGTAGTTGTGGATATGAAAATATGGTAGTGTAGACAGGATTAAGAAAACTTAAAATAACATGAATAAACAGGAAGTTTAGATAAGAAAGGTGATGAGATTGTCATTACTAAAAAATTTTACCTGTTTACGATGGCCATGGCAGGGACAGGGGTTGGACGTATTTCTTTTGGATACAAAGAGTGGGTTTGAGTTTTTGGATAGCTAACGCCTCAGTTATGCCCAAATGTCTTGATTTCACTCTCTTTGATAGGTTTGATTGAATCTTGTATATTACTTTGAAGGATTTTTCGAAAGGCGCTGAATGTGATTTGAAAACGAGCAAGGACCGTTCGACGGTAAAGGAGCTGAACAAGTTTCTACGTTTGTCCGTCAAGCTTGCTGAAGCGAATGCGAAGATCAAGGTGACTAAAAACCTGTGACTCCGTACTACAAACAGTCACAGACGATTTGCTTTTACCGTCTCCAGGACTAAAACCAGTCAGTCCACACTTCCCTACATGGCTAGCTGAAACCAAATAGTCAGATGCAAATATTCTCCAACTTAATTTTATATCATCCTACTCTGATCGATGAGGAAGGCGATTAACAGGCTAGACTTATAACCTAAATGTTCTGAGTTAGATTCCAGGTAAGGTCATAGGTGCGTTCTGTTGAAGAGACACCCAAATCTGGAGCGGATAGTTGTTCAACACTCTTTGGACTTTTCAGTGGTTGCTTAAGTGATGTTAATTTGTAATCTAACTCGAAGTATTTCCCTCTAATAACACATTTATTGAGTTATATTCATTTTTCATAGGATATTTTAAACAAAGAATAAACATTTTTGTATTAAAGTGATTCTTTCTATTGATTTATTTTTAGGTTAAATAATATGGCATATGATATAGAAAATTGTCGTTTTGCTTGTGCTATTCATATCCAGTGTAAAGCAATTGAATTTATTTATGGTGTTCATTGTATCTTGGCATTTCACTTTGATGAATCAGTTCTTCAACGATCGATTGGTACCATCATTGAATTGAAACCGGATCAATGTGATCCTGATATTAAAGAGGGTGAAATATATCCATATACTAATGCTATGTCTGTTCTACGTGTTTAATATTCTATCTTTTTCAACACAATAGACGTTTTTTTGCATTAAAAACCCTTTTTAATTATTATTATTAACTATTTTATGCTTATTTGAAATAAAATAATTGATAAAATGTAGTGTTTTAATTAATGTATGTATTGTAAGAAAAAAAGTTAACATCTTAAATATTTTCTTAATTTGGTAGATGGTGACCAGTAGTGGAATCCAGGATGTAAGTTTTGTCCTATATAGGACTTGTCAGCTCCACATGTCTGCAAACCAAGTGAGGGATAGTCCTTTGTTGGAGACTCGAAACCAGTGGCTTACCACACATCCCAGGGGGCAGCTTCTTGAGGCCGCTCACACACGGCCTGACTAAACTGGCTTTTTGATTTGGTTCCGTGTTAGTAACTTGCCGCCGGTAACGGACTACCGTAGGGTAAGTCGCGATGTACAATTTTTAGGGTGAAGCTTTTCTAATCCTCTCCTTTCAGAGTGGAGAGACAGCACAGCTGAGGGAAACACCCTACTTCTGTTACATCCCTGTTCCCCAGCAGTACGACTTTGCGCACAGACTCCTAGCATAGTGTAAAAATATCTTACACCGTTCCGGTAACTGCTTTTAATCTAATCGCTATCTTAACAATCTTTCTGCCATGGTAGGACCTACAGGAACATTAGTTCCAGCGAATGTCTTGTTAGGTCATTGCGGTATGCAAGCCCGACCACCATGTCAAGGTAGCAGCTATCGATCGGGACTTGAAACCAGTACCCACTGTTTACAATACCACACAGCTACTCACTAGAAATTATTCAAAAATCTGTGAAAACCTATTGGGAAAATAAAATTAGTAGAGAATTCAAAATCTTGGTAATACTATCGCATAAAGAGGGAACTTTAGAAGCCCTTTCGAAGAATTCCTAATGAAGTTGGAATTTAGACTGGTATTTAGATTGATCGGTTCAATCAGAGACAAACTGTGTCACCATACTGATCCAATGGACATCTTCGTCCTTGCCATCTGCCTGTAGTCAACACGATGCTGTCTAGATAAGTGAAGGAGGTGACTTCCACCAAATTTCTCCCACTGATGATGAGGATTGATGCTTGTTGTTGGGTGTCTCCATCACCTCTGTTTTGTGTATCTTCGCTTGAAATCCTGTCTTCGATGCTTCTTTTGCCAACTAGTTGATTTTCGCAAATAGATCTTGGAGTTTGTTTACTTTGCACTGAACAAACACTATTTACTTACATAGTTCAATTTTTTCGAGAGATTGGTCATCTCAGTGTAGTGGCAGGAAAGAGTGTAGATTCATCATCGATGTGATATGTGAGTTTACTCTCCCTCCCCTCTCTATAAAACGAAACTTATCCCACTTAGAGTTTGAAGTAGGATTTGTCTGTATGCTCCAAAACAAATTTATAAAACGTTAGTTTAGTGGTTTGTTAATTTTTGCTATTTTAAGAAATGCTTATAATAATATTCAATCAAATTGCTAAAAGCAGGAAAAGCAGCAGGAACAGATGGAATCCCAGCAGAAGCATTGAAAATGGACACAGAGACAACAGCGGACTTGATGACACCATTACTAGAGAAGGTGTGGAAAGAGGGCAAAGTACCCGAGGATTGGAAGAAAGGATACTTATTCAAACTACCAAAGAAAGGAGACTTAAGTCAATGCAAGAACTGGCGCGGAATTATGCTCCTGTCCATCCCAAGCAAAATACTAAGCCGCATCATCCTGGAGAGAATCAAACAAACCCTGGATGAAAGACTTCGACCAGAACAGGCTGGATTCAGGAGAAACAAGTCATACATTGATCAAATCGTCGCACTCGGGATCATCATTGAACAAAGCTTGGAATGGCAGTCAGCTGTCTATCTGAACTTCATCGACTTTGAAAAGGCTTTCGACAGCGTCGATCGAGAGGTGATTTGGAAACTACTTTGCTACTACGGGGTGCCACCGACAATAATACATCTCATCCAACAGTTGTACGACAATGCTGCATGCCAAGTAATCCACAACGAGAAAATTACGGAATCCTTCGAAGTGAGGACAGGAGTAAGACAAGCTGGCTGCCTACTATCGCCAATGATTTTCTTGACTGCAGTAGACTGGATAATGCGACAAACAGCAGGCAATGAGAAAACAGGCATAAAATGGACTCACACAAATACTTGGACAATATGGACTTCGCCGATGATATATGTCTGATTTCCCACAAACTGGAAGATATGAAAGCGAAAAGCAACAAGTTAGCAGAAGAAGCCTCCAAAGAAGATAGGACTTCAAGTGAACATAGATAAAACAGAGGTGATGAAGATTCCTGGGAAAGAGCAACAACAACAGACAACGATCAGCATAAATGGGGGGAACCTGAAAGAAACAACCTCCTTCACCAATCGACCTGGGAAGCATCGTTTCAACTACAGGCCGGCGGAACTGACGAGGATATCAAAGCAAGAATCGGAAAAGCAAGACAAGCTTTCACTACTCTCAAGTCTGTGTGGAGGTCAACAGCACTCAGCATCAAAATAAGATCCGGATTTTCAACTCCAATGTGAAGTCAGTGCTCCTATACGGATCAGAGACTTGCACTGTGCGTCATAAAGAGCATCTCAAACAAACTACAAACTTTCATTAACAGTTGTCTTCGCTCAATACTCGAGATCAGATGGCCAGAAAAGATCAGCAATAGGGATCTCTGGGAGTGAACCAACCAGGAACCGATTGTGAAACAAATAGGTGGGAAGAAATGGAGGTGGATTGGCCATACTCTGAGGAAACCATCAAGTGACATCACTAGACAAGCCATTGCTCGAGTGGAACCTGAATGGGAAGCGGTGAGTTGGTCGTCGTTGTGAGGGTGACATGGAGGAATTCATGTGGAGAGGAGATGAAAGCATGTGGGCAGACCTGGAGCCAGGTAAAAACTTTAGCAGAGAAGGGAACGCAATGGAGACGTGCAGTTAAATCCCTATGTTCCTCTAAGAATCAAAGGAAATAATAATAATACAATAATATTAGAGTTTGTATTCAATTGCGTCATCTGTTGAGACAGAACTGATTGGCTTAAACACTCAGCTATCAAACAGTGAATCACTAGTTCTATTCTCTTTCCACCAATTTCAGCCTGGGCGGGTCGGTAGTGTCGACAATCCACTCACAATACGTTTGGCTTACAACCTGGTACATGAAAGAACTAATTGAGTTCAGACGGTATCACAGCATTATTTGTTTTCATAAGTTAATTTACTAACGCCTCTTATGATGCGAAAAATTTCTGCAATACATGAATAGTCCCCATCCAGACATTAATGAAAACAGGACACGTAGTTCAGCGAAGAGACTCTTTTCGGTGAATTCACTCCCCTTCTTGACTGAACAGTCACATTTATATACAATTTATCTTTCACGAAAGATAGTAGTAACGAAAGTGATGAGTTGTCACGAACATAGCAGTTAATATTAGTCAATGCATAAAGGAACTTGTGATAGAGTTACGTGATGAGATGAATAATTTAATCAGTGAGTTGTAATCAGGATTCACAGAGAAATGAAGGAAAATATGGAATTAAATAGGCATTCGAAAGAAACGCTAGAGCTATAAACAGTTATTTTCTATAGTTTGCTTTGTAAGGGTTAATTATGTTTTTACGAGTTGATCACGGATTGATATCATTTAGAGAACCACAGAAAACCAGGGACTACTGGACAGCTGTTTCATCCAAGTTTGGGAATCATCGAGGTAGCGCTAAATCACGAATTGGAGAAGTTAGAATTCATGGACTGGTCAGTGAATCGGGTCCCAGTGGCTGAATGGTATACCAGCTTGCCTTGTAACCGGAAGGTCCTGGGTTCAAACTTCCTGTGGTGGGTGCGTACTTCCGATGACTCCCAAACTAGGATGTAACAGCTGTCCAGTACTCCCAGCTGGTTTTCAATGGTTCTCTAACTCATATCAATCCGTAATCAACTCGTAAAAGTAGAAGGAGCTAGAAAAACAAACAAACTAACTAACTAACGAAAATGAAGTCAGTAGAAGTGAACAAGGCTGTGTGTTACCATGACAGTGGAAGTAGTGGAATAATTTTATTTTGTATGCATACCTCCAATTTTTTCAAGTGAATGACTAAGGCTTCAGGAATTCAGAGAAGATGAAAGTATATTGTCCTTGGCAGGTTATTCTTCACTTTGTAGATTACTCTGAATGAGGCGTTTGTTGGTAAAGTAATCGATTATCTCACTACTAATAGATCCACTATTACCATTCTGCACCCTTTTGTAAATGAAACGCGTTGAACGACCAATGTATCTGGCTCCACAACAACAAGTGAACTAATATATGCACACAGAAGTGGTCAGATACGAGATGTTGCCTTTAAGGCCTTTTACAGACCAGTGGGCGACTGGAGAACACTACTCTTAGGGTTGCTGCAACTAATATTCTTCTCAAAATTCTTCTCTTAGGGGTATCGCAGGTTGATTCTTACTTGAAAACCAGGTTCATGTAAAGTTTCTTTTTCGGAACAAGTAATGTTTCGTTCCTTTGGACTTTTGGTTTGGTATTCTTTCCGATGAGTTTCAGTGGATATCCATTTTGGATGAAGGTTTCTTTCAGAATATCTAGTTTTGCTTCTAGTGAGTCAGGAGTAGAGATGCGTCGGATCCGAGTAGCAAGGGTTTTAATTAGACTTCGCTCTCGTTTAACAGGCGTCCAACTGTAAAAACTTGTTAGTTGACCGTTCCAAGTGGGTTTCTTATGAACTGACCTTCATAAGGTTTCGTTGGGTCCTCTTGTTAGTTTCATATTCGGAAAAGGAATTTTGGATTCGTCTTCTGTTTCAAGAGCGAATTTCATTGATAGATGACAGTTGTTAAATGCTTGAAGGAAATGATTGAGGTAGTAACTGTTGACGCAAATGACGCAAACGTCATCTGCGTACTATTTATACATTTGTAAATTATTAGTGGTAGACTCTAATGGGCTGTTTCCGGGGCTAGCCACGAAGTAGTCTGCT